TTCCTTCCTTCCTTCCTTCCTTCCTTCCTTCCTTCCTTCCTTCCTTCTCTCCCTCCTTCTTCCTCCTCCTCCTCCTCCTCTTCCTCCTCTTCTCCTTCCCTCCCTTGCCAAGAGGACACCCGACACCGAGCCCTTATTTTCTCACTTCTGCATTTGCATTCCTTGAGGTCTTTCGGAATTTCCCAGGATGAAAAGAAAACCAGAACTCTTCCGCAGTAAGAATGTTTCCAGCTGGGCTTTGCCATTTACAAAGCCAGGTGAGCTTCATTCTTTATTGGCTTCAGCGGCAGAAGGCTTAAATTTTATCTGGCCAGAGAAGCCTCAGCGAACAGAGGTAATTTCCTCAGTAATATCAGGGTGGAGCCATGGCTGACACGCTGGATTTGTAAAGCCACCAGTGGCCTCTGCGGCAATTAGACTGGAATGCAGGGTCAGAATGTCTCTCCTCACACACGAGAAAAGGAAGTCTACAAAGCTAGGCTGATGGAGGCAAACAACAGCCTGTATCCAACTAATACCGATGCCATACACAGATGTAGGAAAATTATTTTCTCTCCCTTTGCTGCCCAGAGCTTTCTGAGGCGGCCTGTCTGTGATCAGCAGGAGAATGGATTAAGAATCATGACAAATGCTGGTCTTTCTCTCCAAGGGCTACTGTTCCATTCTTTCCACATGGAGCCCAAAAGGTGGCTGTGCCCAACAGGTTTCCAAGCCACTCTGCCAAAACTGCTTGTACTCTTGCATAGATCACATCTTGCTACCCATTCTGGCTTGTGGGAAGGCCTAAGGCCCAGAAAATATCCATGACTCTCCTAACAAAACATACCAATGCTGGGCGGGGTGCTGACCTTCCTACAGTATGGGTCAAACTGGAGATTTACACCCAGTGAGACTCACTGTGTGCTCAAGGTTCCAAGGGCTGAGCTGCTTATTAAGGGTTTTTATACAGCCTGTAAGCAAGCGGTTTACAGGACCGAGCAAGATGGGACAGAACGAGACAGGACAGAGCAAGCCGGGGAAAGTAGACCTCCCGAGGTCACAGCTGTTCTTTCTCCCATCATCTCTGACAGGATTTGTACTGTTCTTTCACATGTCGGTCCTTTTCTGTGTCCTACTGAGCCCACTGCCGACTCGTTTCTGAGGAGTACCTGTGTGAGTACAGTATCCGACACAGCTGGAACAGCACTGAGCTAAGCTGGCCCTCAAAACTTGCACACTTACCTCTTGCTGGAATCACATTGGCCGAGGGCAGGGCTCTGGTGGTAGCTTCGCCCACGTCTTCTCCTGCCTTTCCACTTGTTTCTGTCCATCTCTGTTCCTAGGAGAAAGAAACACAGAACACCTGACACCCCGGCTGTGTGCTCTTCCACTTGCCTGGCAGTTCCACCATGCTCACAATGGTCACTGCTGAGGTTGTCACCCAGGCCTCCTGCTTCTAGCACTTTCTCAATGTCCCCCACCACCACTGACACACAGTGTAATTCTCTGTCCTAGAGAAGAGACCTGACCAGGCAGGAATAACTTGTTCTGCATCTTTTCCACAAATATTCATGTGAATTCTTACTCTTGTCTCAGAGAAATAAACATCTGTCTCCACGCCTTTCCAAGACAACCTCCTCCCCCTAGATGTTCACCTCATCTTTCCTTGGGGATATCACAGATGTCTAGCTTATGTTTAATGGCTCCCTCTCATCTCTGCCCTGAAAGCAAGAGAGTGGTTTCACTTGCAGGAGTTCCCCTGGAATCCAAAGGCACAGAAGCATTCCAGCAGAGTGATCTACATACCCATTCAATGTCTTCACATCCCCCATCCCCCAGCATCCTGCTAAAACGTTCTCACCGGAGGTAACAACTACCTCACTGCTGATCCACACTTTCAAAGTTGGGGGGGGGGAGAGTCCTCATTGAGTTCCCATTCCTGGACTTAGTTTTGGATGGCCAAAATGTACACTTGGAAGGTTCAGGCAGTGAGGTCACTAAGTTAAGGCCAGTCTAGGCTGCCTAGACTTTCAAAAACAGCCCAACACAGAGCTGAGGGATGGCTCAGCAGAGAAGAGAGCACACACTGCTCTTGCAGAGAACTTGAGTTCAGTGTCTAGCATCCACACCAGGTGGCTCATAACCACTTGTTAACTCCAGCTCCAGAGGATCTGACATTTTCTTCTGGCTCTGAAAGGCACCTGCACCCACAGGCTCAGATCCTACCCTCACAGTTACAGGATTTGTAAAAAGCTGCTCGGTGGGAGGTAAGGGTGCTCTTTCCCAAATGTGAGTTTGAACTCAGGACCCCAATGTCCTCTGACTACCGTATGCACACCAAGGCCCTCTCCCAGCACTGACCACAGTGAGCAGACATACATGCCGGAAAAGTATGCATACACATAAAATAAATAAAAAGTAAGGTGGCCTGGTGGTACTCTTGTAATCCCCAGCACATGAGAAGATAAGGCAGAAGGAATGTAAGTTCAAGGTTGTCCTTTGTGTCACACAGGGAAATTGAGACCAACCTGAGCTACCCAAAACCCTCAAAAACAAAAAGCACCCCCCCTCAAAAAAACAAAAACAAAAAACCCATGCCCTGTGTGAGAATTGGAAAATACGTTCACTTTCAGGACGCATACTGTGGTTTATATCTGCATTTCTCTGTCTGTTTTAAACTTTGCTTATACACTCCTGTCTCACTGGATGTGAATTCTTTTTTATTTTGCTACAGTGCTGGAGACTGACCTCAGGGCCTTGTGCACGCTAGGCAAGAGATCCAGGGTTGTTTCTTCTATTCTTAGCACCCACTGACCTAGTTGGCTATGTGCTAATTACTGTTGAGCTAAACAAAACAACAACCCTTCCCTCCCCCCAGTATATCAACCCCACTGCTACTTTACTATTCTGTGGTGCTTGGGGAGGAATCCTGGGCCCTGGGTCTTACTATTGCGTTTACCTCCAGCTCCCTTCACTTACTAGACAATCGAAACCAAAATGTTTATGAGTATTTTGTCAACCCATCACTTACATGCCTGGCACCTGAGGAGGCCAGGAAGCGTGTGTAGGGTGCCCTGGCACTAGAGTTACAGACAGTTAAGAGCTGCCATAAGGGTGCTAGGAAGTAAACCTGGGTCCTCTGGAGGAACAGCCAATGCTGTAACTGCTAAGCCATCTCTCCAGCCCCACTTCACTTTAAACCCTATGTAGCTTCCTTCTGCTGGATGTTTTCCCTTAGAATTTATATTTACACAACACTTGATGTGTGGCAGGCACCGGGCTTGGCACTGGGAAGTGGGCAGGGCTGTGGTCCTTGCCTCGTGACACCAGTCACATCCTAGAAGGAGAGCAAGGAGTGGACAGGGTAGTGGACTGTGGGCAGGGAGGCATATAGAGGAGCCTGCAGGCAGTCTGGCACAACCAAAGTCAGGTACAAGGGACTGCAGGAAGAGGCTGGGTCAGGGTAGGGAGGTCTCCAGGCGCTGGGGCAGAGGCTTGATAACTTATGACAGTTTTACCAATTAGATTAAAGGATACTAACCTCAAACGGTCTGAAATCTACAATCTTTGTGGTGTGGGGTGAAGAGGTGTCTCTCAGCACAGCCACAGCTAGCACTGACTGTGTGATTCCTGCTGCCTCAGCCCCCCACATGCTGTGTTTATAGATGTGCACCATCATACCTGGCTTGAAATCCATAATCTTAAATTATGAAAAAGATCACACATGACGATGTCAGGTGTTACATTGCCCGGGAGTGTAGTATTTTATAACCCTGTTTCCACTCACCAGAGTTCCCCTTAGTTAATTCTATTTTCAGTAGCATTTCGCTGAGATAACAAGCTACTAGGAGGCTGTGCAATTTAGGAATCTAGATTCTAAGTCATGTTGAGATAAAAGTCAAAATTGGGGAGAAATGTGCTTAACACTATTATTTTCCCTGTACATCCCCTCTTCGTCATCTGTTGATCCTTAGCTGCCAGGTGGGTACCTGCCCTGATCCAGACACACACTCAAAGCCAGGCGGGCCCAGGATTGTCATCAGTATACTTAGTAGTAGGAGGCTGAAGGGTCAGGAGTTAAAGGTCACCATTAGCTACAAAGTGAGGTCAAGGCCAGCCTGGCCCTGAACTTCCCATGGAACTCCAGAGTAGCTGGGGTACAGGCCTACTGTCAGGCGGGCAGCCAGTGTGCTCTTTAGAATCTGGGCAACTGCTGTCACCTCATTGCACTTTTACAGTGCTTTAAAGGTTCAGCTCCTTAGGCACCGATCTCTCGAGCTCTCCTTGTGGGTGGTCCAGAAGTCCAGCATCCAGTCTGCAGTTTCCCGAGCCCCATTTTAGATCTACTTGTTTCTTTCATTCTGGGGGTGGGGGTGGGGGTGGGGGCTGGGCTTTTTCCCTGTTGTCAGGCAGTTCCCCCACATATTCAGAGTGTTCTGAGGACCCACATTCAGCCTTCCCTCTCCTCCATACCCTTTGCAGGCATGGCCTCGATATATCCCAGGATGCAGGTGCTGGCAGAGGCTTTGGTTTACTGGGGCTCTCTGTGTGGCAGCAAACACTGGCTAAGCAGCAGATCCCACGGCCCTGGGGTTGGGAGCATTACGAGAGCAACAGCATGTATGGGTTGGTGTTCAGCGCTGCTGGGCTCATTGTTACCCAAGGATAGACCCTCCAAGCACTGGGGGACATCTTAGTTGGAGGCCCGGGACTGTTTCACCATTTCACCCCAGTGCAAGGCTAGAGTGGGAGTAATTATAAAAACACTCAGAATTACAGAGTAACATGTTTGCACAACCTTGCAAATGCACTATAAAGCAACAATGCCATGATATTCAATGGGGGCTGTGGAGACAACTCTTGGGCAAAGTCCTTGACATTTATATCAGCTGGAACCTTCAAAACAGTTTCCCTCTATGGGAGGTTGGAGGCAGAAGATTCCTCATAAGCTCCGAGGCCAACTAGCCTAATGAACTAAGAGAGAACACAAGAGACCCTGTCTCAAACAAGGTAGGTGACAAATGACACCTCAGGCTGTCCTCTAATTTCCACACAACAACACTCACATATATACACAAGAAGTCAAATAGAGTGAGAAATAATGCAATCACAGAAAAATTCTGTAAGACCCCCAACTCCTAAGACATAATAAGATGCAAAATGGGCGGTGGTGGCGCACGCCTTTAATCCCAGCACTTGGGAGGCAGAGGCAGGTGGATTTCTGAGTTCGAGGCCAGCCTGGTCTACAGAGTGAGTTCCAGGACAGCCAGGGCTACACAGAGAAACCCTGTTTTGAAAAACCAAAAAAAAAAAAAAAAAAAAAAAAAGCAAATGCCACTAGCTGGTAAAACCCAGGATAAAATGGCCCCTTCAGTAAGGTTTCCACCCTCAATGGTATGGACCATGAGTGAACACAGGAGGGGAATGAGAAAATGCAGACGGCTCATTCAGAGTTCTGTCCCTTGTATAAACAAACAAACAAACAAACAAGAGGCAGTTAAGAGCACTCGCTGCTCTTGTAGAAGAGCTGAGTTTAGTTTCCAGCACCCACTATCAGGTGGCTCATAAACCCCTATATCTCAGTGATCCAACATTTCTCTGGCCTTTGAGAGCACTTGAACACAAGTAGCATTCTCTCGCTGGATCGCTTGCACTCACGCATGCACGCACACATCTATCCATATAAAGTCCTTCCCTAAAATCAACAGGAGAACCAACTCCACAAAGTTGCCCCCGACCTCCACACGCACACTTGCACAAATACGTCATCCATACACACAAACACACAACCATAATAAAATTAAACCCCACTTTACAACACGGAAGCCGAGGCTTATAGAACTAACACTACCTCACTAACAAAGCCGCATCAGAGATGCAAGCACAGCCTGCCACCTCTAGGCTCAATCACCTACAGGACACCACCTCAATTAGTTTCCACTGTTCGACAACACGATTTCCAGGCAGTGGGATTTTTGTCTTCTCCGGGCAGCTGACTCATTATTTGTTTGTTTGTTTTGTTTTTCTTCTTACTGCCCTGATCCACTCACAGGACCGTGTCTGTGGACATCCAAGGTGGAGGGAGTGTGGTGCTCCCCAAAGTCACTAGAACTGGTGTGGAAAGGTTGTTTCTCACTAACGCACAACTTGGTGTGGCAGGGAATGGAGCTGGTCCACACTAGGGCTTACTAACTTTTCTCCATAAAACCTCAAGCAAACCATCACTTAACCGCTCTTTCTGTGTCTTATAAGGACACCACTAGGGTTGAAGACATGGCTCAGCAGTTAAGAGCGCTTGCTGTTCTTCAAAGAACCCGAGTTCAAAACGCAGCACCCACATGGGCGCTCACATCGTCTCAAATTACAGTTCCAGGAGTTTGACACATTTGGGTCTCTTCGATGTTCCACAGACATGAAAGTACACACACCCCACATATACAATTTAAAATAAAAGGTCTTGTAAAAGGTGTGTGTGAAGATGCCTCAGTGGTTAAGAGTGCTGAGAGCCCAGGTTCAAATCCTAGCACCCCACAGGGGAGCTCACAACCATCTGTAACTCCAGTTGGAGGGGATCTGACCTCTTCAGGCCTCCCTGAACACTAGGCTTGTTCGCAGTGCACAGGCGTATGCAAGCCAGATAGCCATATGCCCATATGCATAAAATAAGCCTTTAAAAAAAAAAAGCAAAGACACAAACTTCCAAAAAGTACTACTGGCCTCGTGTTTCTTCACAGCTCAAATTTCAACAGAGGCAGGGACCCTAGGTCTGCGGGCTGGACGCTGCAAGGTGATCCTGGGAACCCCGCAGGACCCGCCAGGTCCGGGCCCACGCCCACTCCGCACGCTCACTCGTCCTGCCTTTAGCCTGGCCTACTCTGTCCTCTGCGTGGGTTACAGCGGCACCCTCCGTCGGCGCCCAAGTGCACGCCAAGCGTGGGAACAGTCTTACCTGGGCAGATGGTCCCCTCAGCTACAACACTGCTGGGCTGGAGTACCCGGAGGCGTGCGAAGATCCGGAAAGACCCCCCATGTTCTGTGTTGTCATAGCCCATAGGACTAAAGCGACCCGTTCTTTCTTCTCATTGGCTTATGATTCTGTCCGTCCGTGTCAGTAGGGGCGGTCTTTACGGAGGGCGGGACTTGGGACTTCCGCATCGTCCTGGTCCGGCGTGCCCCGGCTTAGCACGCTTAGGGGCGGGGCTAGAGAGTGCTACCGCCTCCTTAGAGTCCCTGGTACTCTCTTGACAGTCAGAGTCGTCCCTCTTACTGCGCTTCGTATCCCGAGAAATTTCTCTCGGCTTGGGGCCGGTACACAGGCCCGAGTTAAGATTGATACGTGAGGGAGGGAAGATGATTGTGTTGTGGAAAAAACAAAGGAAGCTCTCGGGGAAAGAGAAAAAGGAATCCATAGAGTCTTTGGGACGCAGGTACCGGAGGCTCCTCGAATCCTAGGTCAGGTTGTTTCCCACTTGCTGTGTGATCTAGGGTGCGGCTATCACCAGAGAGTCAGGTACGGGGGAGATCCGAGAGGTTTTCTATATGTTAGCATTCTGACTAAACTCCACCTCCACAGTTACCTGGCATTAGCCAGATAGGCCTAGCCTACTATAAAAGGGGCTGCTTGGCCCCTCCTCTCTCTCTTAATCTCTTGCTCTAGCCTCTTGCTCCTCTGTCCCCTCACCCCTTTCCCCTTCCCTTCCCCCCCTCTCCAAGTGCTCATGGCCAGCCTCTACACCTTTACTTCTCTCTCTGCCTCTACTGTAGAGGGAAAAGTTATGGATACTGGGTATATAGAATCCTTTTTAGACATAAAATATTCTTTAGGCTTTCTTTACAAAGACATGGAGGCATGAAGCAGGTTGGAAATGTGGACGGACTAGTTGCAGGAACTGGCTGGAATGCAATTTGGCCAGGTGGAACCAAGCTGAGAATCATGGTGATGGGGCAGGGCCGAAGTAACAGGGCAGGACCACATTCTTGGGAAAGATAAGCGTACAGAGAGCTTTCACCTGATCCTGACTCACGTAGGTTGGGTTCCTTTGGAATGTTCCACTATTTTTATATTATACCACCCTAGCAACCCCCTCACCCCCTCCTCATTCTTTGGTTTGTGGTTTTTTCCCTTAAAAACACCTCTCAAACTGTCTGTAGGGGTCAATTCAGCTCCTGCGTGGGCACACGAATTGACCGGCAGCTAGCTGTCACGCCCTAATAAATAACCTCGCAATTGCTCCGGTACATGGTGTCTCGAGCAGATTACTGGGTGGTCGCGACTTTCTGAGACTTGAGAGAGGGTCTCCTCTCTGCAGAGGTCTTCACTACTACCCTCCTGGCTCCCCTGCCCATGCCCTGAATAAACTCTATTCTATACTACACCATCGTGTGGCTGTCTCTCAGGGGGAAGAGGTGCCTCGGCATGGGCCCGCTGAGACATCCCCTTCCCCCATACCTCACCACACACCCACAGAACATATTCTCTTTATCTTTTTATAAATACATCACTATAGACCCAAGTTGCTCTGAGTTTTTGGAGGCTAATGTTCTGCTGAATTAATAGCTTCTTAAAGGTTTTTTGTTTGTTTGTTTGGTTGGTTGATTTTTATTTGTTTGTTTGTTTTGTTTTTTTGAGACAGGGTTTCTCTGTGTAGCCCTGGCTGTCCTGGAACTCACTCTGTAGACCAGGCCAGCCTTGAACTCAGAAATCCGACTGCCTCTGCCTCCCAAGTGCTGGGATTAAAGGCGTGTGCCACCACTGCCTGACTTCTTAAAGGTTTTTATCTATTAGCCACTTTGTTGCAGAGAATGGTTGTTCTGGAGGGCTGGAACTAGCCCAAGATAAGGTAGATAGCCTCTGTTGCAACATGACAGTCTCTCCAGGAGACACAAATGAACTTATCAGTCTCAGCTTTTCAGGATTTTTTTCATTTATTAGTCAATGATGGACAGTAGCACACCCTGATGGATTGCTTAGTATATGCATCTTTGGCTCTCTGTTTAAACTTTGATCTCACTTCGGTACCCTGAAGACAGACTTGAAGAGTTTGCTGGATATCTTTGCCCCTCTTTGTTATGATTCACGTTGGGGAAAAAAAAATCACCTTTTTCCACTTCCAACTTTTAAGGTTATCTCTTGTCTTATTGAGGACCAACGGGAGTGGCTGGAGCTGACTTGGGGGTACAAGTTGCCAACCCAAGTTGGAAAACAGCCATCTGTAACTGCTGTTTCAGGGGATCTGGTGCCCTCTTCTGACCTCCAAGGGTACAGGCATGCAGATGGCGCACAGACGTATGTGCAAGACAAAACACCCATAGAATAAAATATAAAAATAAAAAATTTAGAAGTTCATTTCCAGCCGGGTGGTGGTGGCTCACGACTTAATCCCAGTGTTAGGATTCTGTCTAAGCTCCGCCCCACAGTTACTCGACAACAGCCAGGTATGCCTGACTCACTATAAAAAGGGGCTGCTTGCCCCTTCTCTCTCTTTTGCTCCTCTCTTGCTTTCTCTTGCTTCCCATCCCCCCACCATGTGCTTATGGCTGGCCTCTACTCCTCTCTTCTCTCTTCCCTCTCCCTCCTCCTCTCCCTCTCTCCTGTTTCTACTAGCCTCTCAACTCTCCTCCCCATGCCCTGAATAAACTCTATTCTATACTCTACCGTGTGTGTCTGGTCCCTCAGGGGGAAGGGATGCCTCAGCATGGGCCCGCTAAGGCACCCTTTTCCCCCATACCTCACCACACCTCCGTAGAATGTATCGCCCCTCTCTTTATCTTTTTATAAACACCCGGCGCTTGGGAAAGCAGAGGCAGGTGGATCTCTGAGTTTGAGCCCAGCCTGGTTTACAGCACCCGTTCCAGGACAACCAGAGAAACCCTGTCTCGAAAAACAAAAAACAAAAATCTGAAACCAATGCATTTTTTTCTTTGAAATTCCATCTAGAATAAATCAGTATTAAATATTTCTACATAAAAAAATAACCCGGGGCTGGGAAGATCAATTTGTAAAGCGTTTGCTGTCCAAGCTGGAGCATCTGAGTTGGAGCTCCGAACCATGTAAAATGCTAGTGCAGTGGTGTTCCTTTGTAATCCCAGCACTGGGGAAGCAGAGATAGGACAATCTCTGGGACTTGCTGGCCAGCCAGACAAACCCAAAAATGTCAAACTCCAAAAACCAAAGTAGCTAACTCCTGAGGCAGTAGAACCAAAGTTGACCTCTGACCTCCATACATGTGATACAGATTAGGGGTCTTGATTGGGTTTGTTTTTGCTGCCAGTTAAAGAATTAACAGGCAAGAAAAATCTTAAGGGTAGTAGGTAGTGGAGAAATCCCAAACACCACATTCAACAACAAACAACCAACAGTTGAAAACAGGTGTTTATTGAGGTAAAGCAGCAACACAGAGATAGAGACCCAGGAAGGTGGGAAATCTCTTCTGGAAGACTGAGGTTTGGGGTGTTTTTTTGTTGTTGTTGTTGTTTTGCTTTTTGTTTTTGTCTTTGAAGAGTTTTCTTTCCCTAATTTATTTTAATTGGTCAGTTTGAAGGAAGATAAGACAGTTGTTTGGCCTGCACCTGTCCTGATCCTGATCTGGGCTCTTAGCCAGTCCATCAGCAGGGGGTCTGCAGGCTGAGGAAACAAGCCTACCAGAGCTTTGCTTCAAGCTGTAAGGCTTTTGTCTCGAGTCAGGAGGGTGAGGAAGAAGTTGGCTGTCTTAGAAGTTTGCCATCTTTATTACCCAGTCATGGCTCTTCTTCCTCTCTGTCTGCCTACAAGGAACATAACTCCTAGTCTCTCATATACACATACACACATATACATACGCATGCACATGCACACATATACATACACATATATACACACATATACATACACATACACATGCACACATATACATACACATGCACACATATACATACA